TCTCTCTCTCTCCCTCTCTCCCTCTTTCGCGAGATCCATGAAAAGTCGTTTCACACAAAGGTCCGGGTGGTTGTTCTCCCGAGAATGGGGGTATACTATGGAAACTTTCAATGTGTATGAAGTGGATGCATTTTGTTGATTGGGGTACCGGTGCCGATAGTTCCTAATACTAGTGAATTAGGGTCGAAGTAAATAAATATACACGCACTACACGTTCACATACACATGTCAGAGAATATCTTTCATTTCCAGGATTTCTTCTGGTAATCCCACCAATTCTCATGAAGCCACGATAGTTTTTCAGCAAGACGGCACGCAGGTGAGGCTGAAGCCTCCGTGTACACACTCCGTCGTTTTAGCGCACACAGAGACCAACCGCTTCAGGTGTGGTCACCATCAGCTCAAGCTGTGGTCATCAGCAATCTGTTTCGGTGGTCAAGATGGCTGGACAGACGATCATATTATTCATCACTGAAGTCCTCTGAGTGTGGACAAGTGATAGAGAGCGCGGCCTTCATAGATGCTCCTCTTTTCTCCTAAACTCCGTCATGATTATCACAGAGGACCGGAGTTGGAAAAAACCGACCACATTCTTCTTCTCCTTGCGGTCTGGTCTTGGGGAGGGAGCAGCGTTCGAATTCGGCAGGGGGGTGAAGACGAAGAAAAGGTTTGTAGGCAAACAAATTCTTGTTCAGGTTCGTTTGTTGGATTGCATTTGGCTAAAAAATCATTGTCGGCATAGCTGAAGCGAGATTCCGATAAGGTAGCAATGATCGATCCTACAGTTCCTGTAGCCTTGTGTGACCCAAGAGGGGCTCAGGCCGGGGGTTCGCCAGACTCACCGTCCTCCGAGCTCGACCCATCCTCTTCATACTGACAGTACAAGCTTTCCTCGGAGGAGTTTTTTAGAATGGACTTGACAGGGTGGGTTTTGAGCATCGGGTTCCGGACGTACTTTTTCCGCGGCCGACAGCGGACCAGTTCCTTCTTGCTGTCGTCGGCCCAGTGGACGTGCCCGTTGGCCATCTATCGGGAGACAAAGACAGACTCGTCAATAACTCAATAGATACGATGGATTTTACCGTGGAATGTTTCCATAC